ATTTTCTTAAAGCATGTCAGCCAGCCAGTACCTGTGACACCCTCACTATGAAGCAAAGAGTTCTTGATTCCAAAAATAAATTAAATAAAATAGCCACCAAATCTGTTTTTCTTCAGACAGAGTTCCTTGACTGTACTTGTTATTTGATCTTAACTATGCTATGAAGTACCTCTTATTTCCATGAACCTTCACCCTATACTGTGCCCTTTGTTTTAGAGTGAACATGGCCTATATTTAGTTGAAGAAGAAATCTTCTCCAATGCTGAGACTTAGAAGCATGGAAGGGGAATTTCTGAGACATGCTGGAATGTTGAACAAAACCCCTTCTCCATGGAATGCTCTTGTACTTTCACAGCTGTATTAACAAAATTCTTCAGCAATAAACTCAAGTTCAAACTAATATATAAGTAAGATCAACAACTCATTTCAGGGCCTTGTCTAACATTGCACTTAGGACATGCTAACTGCTCTGAAAATCCTAGTGTCCACACAGTAAAACATATGCTAAGTTTTAGCCAGCATAGCATAGCAAATTTAGGACTTTTCCCTCAAGGGGTATCTCCACACTGTATTACCTAACATATGTTGAGCTAACATCTGACTGCTCCACAGAGGGTGCATCTACATGAGACATTTATTGCAGTTGCCTAATTAGCTCATCAGTAAAGTATAACCAGTCTAGGCTGCCTGCTGGCTAACCCTGCACTGAAACACCCTCATGCCCCAGCTAGCCCCTCTGCAGCCCATTGATCTGGGTCAGAGCAGCCTTGGACTGGCAGGCTGACCTTCTCAGGACCCCTGCCAGCTCGGACTGTGCCACCCTGGCTCAACGTGCTGCTGCCCTGGGGGCATATGTAAACACTGTGCCTGGGAGCAATAAACTACAGCATGAACTGCACCAAAGTTTATTGTGTCGCCTTAATATTTAGGTGTAGATATGCCCGGAGGTAACGTGATTGAAGACATGAGTGGTGAGGTTGGGATTGACAATCAGCTGATTTTTGGTCCCATCCCACCCACTGCACCAGAGTCTTAAACCAGCTTCCATGTTGGGGAGGGGAAAGGGGAGGCTAGGACCAACAAACAGCTGTTTAGCAGTTCCAGACCCCCACCTCACCAAAGCAGCTCTTGTGCAGTATGAGGGCTGGGACCAACAAATAGCTGTTACCATCCTAAAGTTGTTTTGCTATGATGGCACTCAGTATGTGTTTTACTGCTTGAACACTAGTGTTTTAAGTGCAGTTAACACGTGCTAAGTATAATGTGTGACAAGGCCCTGAAATGAGTTGCTGATCTTCCTTGTTTGTTAGTTTAGATTTATAGGAGCTGTTTGTTAGTCCTAGCCCTCCCCCCCGCCCCACCCCACTACACTGGAGTCTTCAATGCTTCAGCCACTTAGGACTGGTTTTATTTAGATCCTAGTAAGCACTACTATGTGACTGCTCAGAAAACTTTCTAACTCATAGTAATGCTTAGTATGATCTAAATAAGACACATTCTAAGTGTGATGTGTGACAAGGCCCTCATGTTGGCTACTAAACATGCAGCAATAACATTTTACACTATTAACATTAGCCACTGTCAAAGCATAAGGTGAGGGGTTCTATACAACAAGCACATAAAAATTCCCTAAGTCAGTCATTGTTTTATGTCTTCTTGATAAAAAAATATATACGATAGGTTGCATGCAACAATTTGCCTGAATACAGTACTGAAGTAGGGTATGTCCCCTACCATAACACCTCTGGGTGGTTAATACATGGATGAGTAATGCTATTTGGCATGCACATGTTAGCACACTCCTTCATGAGTCATCTTTATTTCCTGTTCACATATATTTAGCTTCAGTCAGCCAAGTAAAAGTTCTTCAGGGAATCAGATAATTTTTACTGTTGCTGTGAATTTCATTATATGCAAACCACTCAGCCTGCACAATTTATTTTTCCTTGAAAACAGTTGCTAAACATTAGTCTGTGTCCTGTGTAATGAATATTCAGGAATAACTGAAAGGAGAGGGCAAAAGCCAGGGATGGAAGATAAGGTATAAGTAACACTCACCAATGTTTAATTGCAACCTTTCAGAAGTTGCTATATTCCATCCTCAAAATCCTGACCCATCAGTGAGAGTTATTCTGAAGAAGTAGTACAGCTAACTTGTATTTTCACTAGTTGTTTGAGCTAATCCTTACTATCTCTTGGAAATCTGAACTGTAGTTTTCCTGCACATGCAGATAAATTTCTCCTGAAAACATGATTGTTACTGTTCCCATTTGCCTTCAGATTTAAAAATCATTATTACCATAAACATGAGAAGTACAGATAAATGATCAGGAGAGGAGATTATGAAAAAAGGGAAAGGAGAAGGGGAGATGAAATGCAGAACAGATGACAAATTGAATAAATGGGGAAGAGGAGAGGTAGAGAGAAAAGAAAAGTAGAAAGGGGGGAAAAGAAGGAGGAAAAGTCAAATTGATTTAAAAAAAAAAAAGATTTCTATGTTGCTGGCTCTGAGCCTCAGCTGTAGCCTGAAAACTTTGTACTCTTGTATTAGAGCAGTGGTTGTCAACTGTGGGTACACATACCCCTAGGGAGTACTTAAAAAGGTTGAAGGGGGTACACAGCCTGGCAGCTGGGTCCAGCAGGTAAGCTTGTTGTGGGACGAGGGAGTGGGGCAAGGGCTGCCTAGCCAAGGTAGGGTGCAGGACTGAACCACGCAGGGAGAGATGGCTCCCCCCACTACATGCACCCTGCAGGGCATGGGGGGCATGTGTGCCCAGAACTGGCATGGGGTGGGGCGAGCTGGGGTTGGGGCTACACCGGGCTCTTCCTGGTGGTGGCTGGGCTATGCTGCACTCTGGATGGATGGTGGCAACACTGGGAAGGGGATTGGGGGGACTAGGTCTAATTTTAGGGTGGTTGCAGTCCCCTCCCATAGCCCCGCTCCCATAGGCCCCTGCAGTGAGGGAGGGAGTGGGACTGGAGCAGGGCAGGCACTGTTGAGCCAGGACAGAGCATGGGGCAGAGCCGCAAGTAGCTTATCTGCGGGGTGTGGGAAGTGGCGGCTCCCATCTCTGCATGTGCCCTGGGAGGGCACAGAGGCCCTCAGATGTACTTGTGGGGTGTGGTGGGCTGTGGGCTGGAGCAGCGATGGGTTGCTCCTGGCAGGGGTGTTGGGATGGGCTGCACTGGGAGTGGAGCTTGGGGGCACTATGGTGAATTTTGGGGTGGCAGCAGCCCCTCCCTGCCTCAGCCCTCCCCCCACCACTGGGAACAGCCTGGCGCAGCCCTGGCCCCAGCCTGCCTGGGGACACTCACCCCCCCATGCACCCAGAAGGGGTACACTTGTTAAAAAATGTTGAAAGAGGCCCCCAATCCCCACATCCCAGGCTACATGAAAACAACCTAAACCCCCAAATCCCCAGGATGGACCAAATCTAGCTAAGAACACTAATTCTGGAGTCCCCAGGCTATACCAAGTTACCCCCTAGTCCTGTGAAACCCCCATTAACACCAAATCAAGCTACAGACCTCTAGACCCCCACCCAAGGTACATCAATCCAAGCTAAAGTCCCCTAGCAAGCCCCGAAATAGACCAAACCTACCTAAACCCCCTAAGCCTCCAGGCAGCATCATGCTAAGCCTTCCCCTCCAAACATCTCCCACGAGTGTCCTTAGAGGCTTAATAGGTTCATAATGTGACTAGGAGGTGTCTTGTGGACCTAGGCAGATGTGTTGCATCTGAAGTGAGCATGCTCAAAGGCAAGTATCCTTGTGTGATCAGCCAAAATTTCAAAAAGTAGTGGGAGTACTAATGAGTTGGGCACATAAGTCATAATTCAGGATTGCAGAGGGGTCTGAACAGGATAGCAAACATAGGATTGGGGTACAAACCCCACCTACCAGGCCCTGGTGCTTGTATGAGGTACAGTAGGATTTGACCCATGGTGTTAAATTCTGGCCCCATCTGAGGCAATAGCAAAATGACCATAGACTTGTAGAGTATCACCACTATTGTAGCAGCCCATCATGATTCCTGGCAGAAGATAGGCCAGACAAGGAAGGCAGCTTTCCAACACACCAATGATTGCAAGTTGCCAGCTGCAGGTATCACAGCTTGGGGCAGCGTATGTTGTTTCATCAATAGAGTTACACCTGATTTATACTGTGGTAAGTGAGAAGGGGATCCAACCTTATTTTTAATCCCTTCTCTCCCCCACCACACAAAAAAACCAAACCTGATCTAAAATAAAGATCAGAAAGCATACATTATTCAGATATGATTTTCCATACTTTTCAGAAGAAGGTACTGCTACAGTGGAAGTTGTTAAGATCTGCAAACAGTTTTCACTGATTACATCTGATTGGCAGTAGTAGACACATATTAATTGAGGCTAACCAGAAGCAGCAGGTCATGGCACCCTCACAGAGTGACAGGTGAAACTACAGAAGCCAAGACCTTAACAATATGGCAAGGCCTAGACTGAAGCTAAGCCATTAAGACTAAGGCATTTACCTCCCAAATGGGGACTGATTTGGCTAGAACTGTCTGCACATGAGTATGTGGTAGAGTGAAAATAACCATAAAGCCAAGAGAAGCATGCCTTGAGGGAAGCAGAGAGAGAGCTTCTTGGGGATAGGCTTAAAAACTGATCCGTGTTCTTCGTTCTTACAGAATGGCAGAAACAGGACTTTACATTCCTGCTTATTTCCAAGGAATGTATCAAAGGAATACATGATATGTTATCAGTTTCCCCTCCTTCTGAAGCTCAGTAAAACCCTGAATATTGGCTAAGTGCTTTGCCCAAGAGATAAGGGGTAGTAAGCTTTGGCATTTATCAATTTTTGTCAAGTAGCTGAAGCTGACTTTAGGAATTTCTCTACAAATACTGGAAGATTTGGGTCTGGTATGTCCTGTGTTCCATGCGGATAAAAATTAAAGGAAAGAAAATAATAACTATTATTAAAATTAATGTAACACAAACATAATATACAGCTTGCAAATCTTCTATTCCGGCAGATACACTTAGCTTTATATTAATATAAAAGCTTTAGCTTTTACTCCACATACAAATACATCCCAAGGGATTTTTTTTTTTTTTTTTGCCTCTTCACTACTTTAATATTAGTCATGCTGATGCAGAATAACATATGCATTTTCTCCCATTTAAAACAGTTTTACACCAATGGGCTTTCAGAGAACCAAGTTCAACAAATAAAGTACCAACAAGTTCAAAGACTTTTCATTCCCATTTCCTCATTTTCATTTGTCTACATTTAGATTACTTTTAAACACATTCATGTAACACATTATATTAATATGTGAGCAGTTACATTTGTATTCCTGTCAGTTCCAATTCTGCGTGTCAATTAAGCTTCACTTGCATAGCTATTTGAAGGATTAGTATATTATTTTGTGTAATATTAAGAATTCTGCTGACTTTTATTAATCCAGCCTCAATGATAACATTCTTTTACAGTTAAAAATCTAATATACTTAAAAAATAAACAAACCTGTACTTTAAACAGTTTGTTTATTTCTTTCATTAAGACTTATTTATATTGCCCAAGACCTATAAAACTTCAGGATCCATGCTGTACATCATATGGTCACTGTATTTTGCATTTCCATGTGTTCCTGTGGAGATGACACCTTTCTGTTCACACAAAGAACTTTTTGTATTGCTCTTTCCAGAGTTTCTTTGCTTGGTTCTTTCAAGTAGATTTGTAGCTGATGCCCATAATCTCTTTCCAAGAAGTCCTTTGCTGCTTGCCGGTTGGTTTCCCTCAACTTTTCCAAAAGATATTTTTCAGTTTCTTCCTCTAATATACATCCATCTTCTATCTCTTCATATGTTCTCCCTTGTCTGTGGGCTTTGCAATACCAATAAGGGAAAAGTGTGTACACTGCAGCAGTTATGGCAATGACACAAAGGGCAGTTAGTCCTATCCACTGGAAAAAAAAAATCACAAATTGATAATTTACATGTGACTTCATAAATCTTAGGTTTCATTCAAACAGACATGTTCTGTTTTTAAACTACTTTGTCATAAAATCAGAAAACATCCCTGCCTGTGTTCTGACTCCACTCCCAGTGCTTGTCATGGCGCTGGAACCTGTGACTGCTCAGGAGAGTCCAGAGCAGCTACTTTAAAAATTGGGGTTTTTTTAAAACAATTTCCTCACACGCTTCCTGGTATGCCAGGGAAATGTCTCCACATGCCACTAATTGGCATGCATGCCGGGGGGTGCTGATCCCTGATCTAGCCCCTCCAGACCCTCTCTCTCAGTCTCAAAACCACTTCTGTGTTTCTGCCTCTCCAGGGTCTACTACCCAGAGCCTTGGGTTTCACAAACATGTTGCCTGACCCTTTAGGCAATGGCAGTAGGTCCTTAGGCCTAGCTACCCAGCTTGGGTTCCTGCCTTAGGGTTCTTGTGCCTGCACCTCTGACCTCCTCCTCCAATGAAAGGATATCACACAGAGTATTGGTCAACCTCCTTATCCCCTCTTATAGCCACTTCCAGTTCACCTGGTGTCTGTAAAACAGAAATTTCAATTTCAATTCCTCCTCACTTTGGGTAAATGGTTACAGTCCAGAAGTCAAGGTTTTGCCCCTCTGGCCTGCTACATGAACAAAAAAAGAATCCCAACAGAAACCTATTCCCCCTCCAGGGCTACTTCATCAATCACAGCCTTCTCTCTATCCAGTAAGGACAAACCAACCTTGCCTGCAATCAGGGCTCAGCTGACCTTCTTGCCTCTGAGGTCAGCTTTTACATTCCCTAGGCCTGCAGTTCCCAACCTTGGGGTTCTAACAATATAAAATGGGGTCACAAAGACACTCAATGGTGTTGGCTGATAGGGATATGGGTTTTCCATTCACTGTGGATTTTCTCTTTTAAAGTTCTAGACTGCAAGGGGCTACTTGGGTCGTGGGGGGAGAAGGAGGAGGGCAATCAGGCAGGGGGTGCCATGTGCATGTGCACGTGCATACATGCATGTGGCAGCCAAGCAGCATCGAGAGCAGCTCCCTCCAAGTAAGTCTGTGGGAACAGGAGAGGACAGATGGAGGGCCCAACAGTGAGGGAGGAAGGGAGAGCAGCAGGGCTGGGGCTGGGGACGCTGCCCAGCTGGGCTCATGTGGGAAAATGGGGCCTGGCTGGGGAGGAGGATGGAGCCACAGGCAGCTTGTCTGCCAGGGGGGTGGCTCCCCACTGCTGCACACACTCCTGGAGAGGGGGGCATGAGCCCCCAGATTTGGATGCAAGGCAGGGTCAGGCTGCCAGATGGTGGCTCAGGGCTACCTACCCTCCTTCCCTTCCCCTGGGGCCTCTGTAGCAGAGCAGGGCAGGGAGGGTTGGTGCCACTGCCAGGAGCTCCATGCCGGCTGTGCCACCATGGCAAGGTACCACTTCCCAATCCAGCAGCAGTAGGGGGCACAACTCCATGCTGCCACTGCTGCCAGGCAGGCAGGGGGTGCCTCGCAATGGTGGTATGGCTGGCATAGGGCTCCTGGCAGTAGCACAAAGCCTCCCCACACTCCTGTGCTGAGTCCCACCTGCTGGGCCATGGAGGCCCCTAGGGGAGGGTGGGGCAGAAGGTGCCGAAGGGCAGGGAACCCTGAGCCCACAGCAGGAAGCCTGCATCCTCCACCTCCCCCACTCCATGGGCTCTACTCTGGCCACAGCAGTTGCCATCTCCTGCAGGCAGTGGCTGGGGCTTGGGCACTGCTGGGGGGCAGGGGGCTGCAGGCTGGGAGTGAGGGGCACTAGCAGGGCCAGGGGGCTGTGGGTCAGGAGTGAGGGGTACTTGGAGGGTGGAGGGCTACAGGTTGGGAGTGAGGGGCCATGCTGAGGAAATGGGGTCATAAATGGGGTCATTCTGAGGGAAAATGTGGCAGGGCACTGTTTTTGCCTGCCACTTTAAGACGTGGGGCCAAGCAGCCAGCAAGTGCTTAATTGCAGTGGCCATTTTAGAGCTCTGGCCACCCATATAAACAGGGCGTTTTGCTGCTCGCTGGAAGTGCACTAACATCACCTGGCTGTAAGTCTTCATGGAACACTCCGGAGGTAAGGAAGGAGTTGTATGGGATGGTCAGGAGGCTTCTGGTCCTGGGCATGACCTAAAACTGCACCCTTCTGAGAGTGGGTGGTCTGGTGGGGTTCTCAGTGGCGTGGGAGCCCCCAGGAAATGCCAGGCCAGTTACCACCCCGGTGAAAGGTGGGCTGGGGTGCCTTAACCCCAGCTCGCACAACCGGGTGGGTTTCCCCCCTGTAGGGTTTGGAAGGTGGATCCCAGTGAGAGAGTGGGGCCATAGACTCAAAAAAACCTGTCTTGACATCCCCTGACATCCCCAGGACCAGAAGGGTAGAAGGGCTAGGGGCCCACCATGAGGGACACCCAGAGCTGAGGGCCTAGGTTTCCAACTGGCTTGGAGGTGGGGCCAGGGCCAGCAGAGCCAAAAGTCCCAGGGGGATCACACCCATAAGGGGGAAGCAGCTCAGGGAGCTATGCAGCCTAGAATGAAGGCAGATTAGGCTGCCTGAATGGAGGGATCCACGTGGGGTTCAAACAGAGTGGGGCTGGTGACTGTAAGAACAGAGAATGCCATCTGCGAAGCATGGGCTGCGGTGTAGGGGAGGTATGGTGCCGCAGATAGCACCCCCTGGCATCAGGGCAAGAAATGGGCAGCCTCTCGCTTAATTAACAACAACTAATTAATTAACAACAAGGCGTGGCAGGAGGAGAAGACGGGCAGTTAGCCCAGAAACAGGTGGGCGGGCCACAGGGAAATCAGCCCTGAGAAGGTTCCCCTGTTACAGAAAGGTTGGGAAGCACAGCCCTAGGCCCTCCCTACTTACCTGACCTATTTTACCTGCCAGGGTCTCCACAGTGTTCATGCCAGTAGGGAGCTTGCCACTTTGCTTTCCCTGTCTCATTTTCTGGCCTCTGGTTCCTGCTGGCCCAAAAGGTTCAAGCCTTAAAGGGGCCCTGCTACCCTTCTGGGCTTTTCCATCCTTTCTCCATAACAGTTGTTTGACCTCTTAAAAGATGTCACCAAGCTGTGTGGAGCTGAAAGCACTCTCAGGGGTAGAATTAGGATTTGGAATTTGTTGCATAAACTGGAGAAATCATCTAAAATTAAATGAATAAAATTCAGTAAAGACAATTTTGAAGTTCTGCACTTGGGACAGAATAACCATATGCACGAATCCAGACTGAAGTACCGCAGAAAAGGCCATGGGAATTATAGTGGACCATAGTATGAATATAAACCAACAGTGTGCTTCTGTTGTAAACAGCCAAGAGCATGTTGGGCTGTATTAGTAGGATTGTTACTTTCAAGTCACTTCTGCTCTGTTTGGCACTGGTGGGGCCTCACACAGAGTATGTTGTCCTGTTTTGGGTGCTATGCTTCAGGAAAGACATGGCCAAATTAGAAAGTCTGGTGTAGAACCATGAAAATGATTTGGGCTCGGGACAGAAGTTGCACATAAACCAGTTTAAGTGATCCAAAAATAGTTTAAACCTGTAACAGAACAGAAGTTCAGTGCATATAAACCAGTTTCAAAATG